TGCCAACGAATAAATTCCAAACCTAAAATATCTCTTCAACTATCGACTTTGTGTCGGCTGGTTCTTTGTGGTTTGAAATTTAGCAAGATAAATTCGACATGACTGCAATGCTTGTGATTTAATTGCGTAATTGGTAAAATTGTTGACCCAAATAATTATAAAAAAAATATAACATTTATATGTAGGTTACTACAATCCTTTTAGGACCTGCCTATCTTCAAAATCAATCATTACGTCAGTTACATAGGTAATTTTGTCTGTTTTATTTATTTTATAATAAATTGTATGATAGGATTTGTATTGTGTTTTCAGTACGCTGAAGTTTTCTACTTTCCTAAAAATAACAAGAAATTCACAGTAATATTCTTGCACAATTACCTCCATTCGCATATCCACCATCGATTTTTCCAGTTTACGGCTTACCTTTTCGCGGATTTTCCTCTGCAATCACGGTAATCCCCGAGCAAACGTCTGGCATCATATTTTCCTCGTCCGTGCTCCGAAAACCTCCGACCGGGAAAAACTAAAGTCGTCGCAGAATATCCCTGCAAGTGACCGTAAATTTCGGCATCCTGAAAACTTGACGGCAGCATTCGCTGTATATGCAGTCTGACCATTTCCAGCTGTGCTTTTATCCGGCGGGCGTGCACAAACACGTCCTAATGGTCGGAAAATGAAGAGAAACTAGAGGTCATCGGCATTTTTTTGTATATCCAGCCAATACCTTCATCAAAAAAGCGATAAAAGCGAACGCCGAGTTTTTTAAGGAGATATTTCTTTAAAATTCCAAATGCATCAAATAGCGGTTTCACTGGCATCATTACGTGTTTATTTTTTCTTTTTCTATAGGAATTCGAACGTGTTGTATGTAGGTGAAAAATAAATCGTGAAGAAAGAGTGGCTAAATTTTATATATCTACCCAGTAGCTGTTTCTTTTAGTTCTGTATAGTATAACGTGGTAACGTATACAAGCCGAGCACTTGGAAATGCGCCGTAAACTTTTCACTTCGCATCCAAAACCGCTAGTGCTCCTTAAAATACAAGGAAAGATTTACATTTTCCTAAGTAACGTTGTGTGTAAGTATCGGAAATCGTATCTCTTCGTCTTTATTTTCTCTCTTGCAGCCGACGTCTTGGTGGAGGTGAGAATCCACTCGGCTGGCGAGATCGTATATTTGAAACCTTTTGTCATCTTGGGCGTTCTCCGGAGAGTTACTCCATTAACCTGAACACCCGTCGCGTAATTTACCTAAAGGCATTATATCGGGAGACTGCCGATTCGATAGTGAACTCTCAATCGGTATTTGCTAACTGCGAGTTTGATAATTATTATCTCTCATTCATCGAATCGGTATATTGTTAAACTTTTATTTTTCTCTGCTCAACCATGAAATTAAGAACGGCTGTTTCATTCATTTGAACTCGATTTGTCGATCAACTAAAATCTAATTAATAATATGGAGTTTGCTGTATGTTTTGGAGGTACTGATTAAGAATTAATTGGAATCGGAGAAATTCGTAATCAACCAAAATTGCCCAGTTAGAGGAAAAACGGTAGTGTAGTTTAATGAAGTAGGTCGCGTGATAATACACGTATATCGAAGTTGATAATGTAAAAATTATTCCGTGTTTTCTTAATAACCGTTTTGCGTGCGGTAACAGTCGAATTAGGGATTATACTTGTGGAATTGTTTTTCGTTCAATATGCTTTATAGCGCGCCGTAACCTCAGATTGAATAACCGAATTTGACTGACGTCCATATTGAACTGAATAAACAACATTACTTTTTGTTCCTACCTTAATTAATTTACCTATATACATTCTGTTCGATTCATATTTGTTATAAATTGGTTAAGCAAATAACGCATAATTTCAAAGCAAACGGAATCAATTCAAAATAACGATTATTGTATTGTATGAGCTAAGTGATCGACTGGAATTATTAAAAAGGATTACTCATTACTAGTCGTCGAATTGATTAAAAACCATTACGATTGTTAGTTAAAATATGTCCGATTGAATAAATTCGATCCAATAAAAACACATCATTAATACTCTAGGTATAGTGTATCTATAATATAATATGTATAATAATATATGTGGAGACTGTCATGTTTGTTTTGCGATGCGGTATGTCATAGGGACACGCATTGCAGGCAAAACAAACTGGTAAATATTTATCTAGAATTATAATAGATTATAATACATTGTTCCTAACACGTAAAATATATTTTCATAATTGAACAACACTAGTAAACATATTGCTCCCCATCAATCATACAACATTGTATTGGTTAAAGAAGATGTCTGCAATTCAAATAATTTTAAGAAATATTAATTGTAGAAGGAAATTTAGTGTTAACAAATAACAGTGTTAAACCAAAAGGAATCCAAATGGAGCGCTCTCGCTATTTGTATTCCATTTGTGTACGTTTCCCAGTCCATTCGGTTCGCCAATAATTGTAAATAAAGGATAACGCCCAGGTTCTAAGAAAGTGCATCAGTATTTCATGAGATACTGGCCACATTCGTCTGACCGTTGACAAGGCTCCGGGGATTTAGTGACCCAAATCTGAGAAATATATTACGACGGCAATCTAACCGGCAATTATCGGTACAAACGTGGTCGTTGTAGAAACTTCAAACACCATCGAAATTTCAAAGGGTATCAAAATTGAGAATCTGTCTGATATCCACTTATTTCCAATAATTGCCTCGATTTATTTACTAAATACCATGCAACTAATTAGTAATGACAATTGAGGTTGTAATTTTTGAAAAGTTGGCTATAATTGTCCAAAATTTTCTATAAAATTCAAAGTTTCATTCTAATCAATAGAGTATTTGGTTATTAAACTACCGTTTGGATTTAACCAAGTAGGTTATTTTTTTAATTAACAATACGTCTTGCTGCCACTTTATCAATCTCCTACAAAAAAATCATTTATTTCCATCCGCCCGGTATAACAAGTTTTCCCAAGAGACCTACTTCTATTTGTCTTGTCTCATATAAATCTTTCTCAAGAAGTTGGTAGGCTTAACAATGACCACAACTGTTAAACTAAAGTTACCAAGCCAAACGTAGTACTTGCAAAGTACATCTTGTACATGCAGTTAAAGTAATGTTAACACCATGTTAAAAGTGTAAGTAAGTAGAAATTTTGTATTTCGACATGGCAAGATCTAAATTAATTACTCGTAGATCTAATATAATTTCGTATGATATACTTTTATACTTTTGCGAGTGAGCGGTTTACATTGCGTGAATAATGCCGTTTTAAACCTCGATTTTGCTTTATTTGACAATTTCTTAGGCGAATGCGTCTGAAACGGCTTTCATGGTTCAACAGACTCGAGGGGACTATACTTTATATTGATAGGACTTACTAAACACACAGCTCAATCTTTTTCCTTATCATTTGTCGGCACTTCTGCTTAAGGGAAAACGGGAAAAATGACGTAATTTTTCATTTTAGTTAAGCCTCGACAGATATTCGCTTTTCAATGAGATTTTTAGTATTATTTTATCTCGTTTTTAAGCGAGCGAATTTTCCCCTTTCAACGTCGGCAATATTTTCCCATACGTTTTATATTTATACAAGCTACTGAAAATATTTACGATTTTTGATATTTATTAAGCCTTTTTCCATTCGATATAATGCATTTGGATGCAAATGTCTTATACATATGCAGGTATAACGCCTCAGCGCATTAATTTCTACTCCGATCCTTACTTTTCCATTACCTAACCTATGGAAACTAATACCAGTAGAGTATTTGGTAATTAAACTATCGAATTAATTGTTATGTTGGTTTGTGCATCCTCACAAAATATTTTATTCGTTTGAAGAATGCATATCATTCGAAGTGTCCACGTTTCATGTTCATTTTGTTTCGTCCGTAAAATCTGCATAACCGCCAACATTCAACATAAGATTTCTCTTTATTCCGGGGACGTGAATCGAATGTTAAATCTGCGAATATCTAGCTGAATTTATCCCGGTTCTTGGTGAAAGCCAATTTTCATTTCAACTGTGTGTATATTTCACAGGTAAAAGCGAAAAATGTACAATAGTATTTCTTGTTGAATTACGGCCGGAGCGGCGCAAGAAAAGAATAAAAATGCGTGCTAACAGTGGCCATAATAATAACAATAATCATATCTTCGCGTAGTTACCTTTCGTGATCTTTACGTTGGATGTGGGAATTTCGCTGTAAACGTGGGGGATAAGCTCCCCGAAATGTTTACACAAACATATTCCTTCCTTAACACCTTCATTTAATTTTATTTATTCCATAGAAGGAGAATTTATTGTAATTTGCGGTAAATTATACGATAAATTTTCCACCATTCGAATACAATGCTTGTGCCTAGACGTTTTTCTAGTACAATTCGTAGATACGCCACATTTTGTGGAGAAATAATCAACCATATCATGATTTATTAATGTTGACGTGATACAAAAACATATGACAAATCACTTTACTACATTCTAGTCAAGATTAATGAACATTGGCAAATCCTTTTTACAATTGTTTTTCACCGCTACAGAAAAGCGTTCGTATGTCGTTGTACGGTAACGCGATAATACCGAAATTAATGATATAAAAAATCCGCGTGCGCGCGGATGTGTGAAAAGATCAAGTACAGCAATTTGCAGTGTCAGAAATACACAAGTTTATGAATGAATATTCTGCGTGCTTTGCGATACCAACATTTGTAAATGTTTTATAGAAAGTTGTTGTATGCAAAAATTTTAGGTTATTAGGTTATTTAAATAAAGCGTAGGGTATATGTTTGGGTATATGGGACATATGGAGCGTTAATACGATTTTATGAAAAATGCGAGGAAAACCGTTAATTAATTTCCAATACGGCAATTTTCCACATACGCTATTATAAATTACCTTTAAAAGCGTCTGCTATCAGCCGCATATTGAATAATGCAAAGCGCCTTCAAATTTAACTGTTTTAAAAGAATTTAATTTATGTTCCAGGTGGCGTTGTAGCTCACGTCCAGGCTTTGCTCAAAGGAACAGCACTGTTGCCATGCGATTTGACCGCCATCGCGCCCAACGATTCCGTCGTTCTTGTGGTTTGGTACAAAGACGAGCATACCCCAATTTACAGGTAAATTAATCCCATTCATATTAATAAATTTAATACAGTTTCTCGCAATGGCGTAAGGGGTATCACGGGAATTTCGACTCTGGTGTTACCTCCAAACATCCTAATTACACTACTCATATACGTTTACATAAAGTTCTTATTGAGATGTTATGAGTAAACAAGCTTGTATATCTACATTCTATTAATTGCGTTTCTGCTTGACGAGGTTGGTACATGATTAAAGCTCATTAATTTGGTAAATATAACGTACGTCGATAATAGTGTGGCAAGTGTAAATTGTCTCTCCTCTCATGCAAACAATCAGGTTGGTGCTGATGATAGGGCATTGGTGAATAAGCTTTTCTAATTATAGAATACCGACGTATTCTAGGCGTTCTATTCCACTTCGAGTGTTTATTATCCACCAATTTTACTTGATGTATTATTTTAAAAAGATGTAGGTATGTATATTGGAATTGTAAACAGTAGGTGATTTATGTATTCAACAAATTAATCCCACTACCTTATTTATTACTTAAATCTTTATATTATTTAATTTACTTCCTTTACTTCCCAAAAAGAATAATCGAAAGTCGTGAAATTAAAATGATAGTAATAAATCTAACTAATTATGTTTCTCTAACCGGCTCCGCACTTGATTATGCCTTTTATTTCGAGCTGCCAATAAAACCGTTTAAACAATAGGTTTATTATCACTTTCGACGTAAAATATATATGTATATAATAATGAAACGAGCGGAGCGAGAAATTCGATGGCGGAGCGCGCTGTGCGAAAGAAAAGCTTCGCTATGACAAATCTAACAAAAGACTTCTCGCAGGGAGTCGTAATAATCTTCGACATTCAGCTAAATCTTATCGAAATTATGTGTCTTCCAAATGTTTTCTTCTTTATCCCGGATAATGACGATACTTGAGATGGATCTTAACAATAGAAAAGGAAAAGAATCGATGGAAGTTCGACTTTACGGATTCTGCTAGTTGCCGCTCAGAAATTCATAAGAGAGAAGTAGTTAACATAACGACACTTTCATTGTGTAGACTTTTTGTTTCGATTGCACGCTTTCACCTCCGAGACTGAAATGAATAAGATGAAGTGTTAGTTCGAAAATTTCGTCGTTAATAATTTAACAAGAAATGTGAATTTCACGTTCTCTTAACGCCGAAATCCGAACCACCGGTAAGTGTGGCACAAAAGATATAAATTTCTAAATTGGTTTCCATTCTTAGAAATAATATTTCATTCTACTACCATATGTGAATACTGAAAGAACGAATGATGAAGGCATATTGATTTTTCCACATGTACGTTTTGAAACTGTTTGGCTTTAAATCCCAACTGATACCAGAAATTTTCGTAGCGTATTTTTATTCAGAATACATTTTTCTATTCATAAACCGAGCTCCCAGTTGGCTTCGGAAATGAGAACCGATCGCGAAACACGGCCTATACATTTCTAACATCCTAATAGATTTGCAGAACTTATTCATGGATCATTTCGCATACAATGAGCTTAGAATAATTGTACAAAAGTTGCGGAAATTAATTTATCGCTGGCACGAATAGTTCAGTAAAATCTATTAGCTAATATAAATGAATGCGTGCTGACGTTCGAAGTATCATCCGGGACTCTGAGTTGTTTAAGAGGCTTTGATAAATACCTAATTCAATTTCGCTGGAAAATTACCAACATAGCAAAAAAGTTTTACCTATCCTTAACGAAGCAACACAACTTGGCTAACTAGATTAGAGTGTCGGAAATAGAAATGAGTGGTAGAGAAAACGAAATAAGTGAGTTATCCTTGCTGGATATTTTATCTTGTAATTTAGCGAGAGAGGAGCATATAAGTATTAATAAAGCCCACGATGAAGTTACAAAGGACTATTTTTTTAACAATTAACAGAAAAAGATACGTATATAGCGACAAATCATACATAGAAATTTATTCGGTATAGTTTTTATACATATAGTGGAAGCAACAAAGATATTCCTTATCCATGCAGTAACACAGGTAGAACAATGGGCCCTGACTAACAGTTGTAGGGTAAATTGTTCAAGGGTAACAATCGAGCCAGATGATGATATCTTTCGGGGGTGAGTGTATATTTATTTAGGAATATGAATTATGCATGTTGTCATTCTCATTGTTGGAGCTTCTCATCTTCCTCTTTCCTTATACACAGAAGGTAAAAGGTTACGTACGAACGCTAAGCAAGAGATTTTGGTGTTTGTAAATGAATAGAAATGTTTAAATTTTCCTCCGAGTGTACTAACACTGCTTTACACAAATATTTTCAAAGAGTTAGGTCCCATCGTTCAGTTTAAGAAAATGCATATACCTATGTAGTTAAAATAAAAGATTCTCAGTTATCTCATGAGAAGCAGGGGATCGAATATCAAAAATGATCATAAAATGAGAAATAAAAATCTTATACCCTTTTTTTTCTAAAGAAAGCAGTACGTTTAAGCAATTTTAGAACACAATCAAAGTTCCTATAGCTGTGCACCAAAGAATACTAGATTGCGGCCTTTTACAGATTAGCTTATCCAACGAAGTCTAACCGAGATTTCCCTAAGGGAGAATTTCGTTCATTCTGCGCATCATTTTCATCTCAAGAATTCCTTTTATATTCGTATTGAAGTTCCATGGGTGTCGCATTGAAGCAGCATACATTCCTCGCCCTATCAATGTAAGAGTGAAAGGGGAAGTCTTACTGTATTTGTTTATCGAATTACGCCAGTTAAAACAAGTATTTTCCTTAAAGTTTTAATGGGTTTATTCAAGGAAAGTTTATATAAGGAAATTATGCCACGATATTATCTTCCAAAAGTCGATAATAGTGACTATAATAGCGCTTGATTTTAAACAAAGCGTTGTAACACAATTTGCACCTAATAAAATTGTGTTCGATAATTTTGATATTACAAGTAGGTAATTTAGTGTCTGCTAAAACGTATTAGGAAGTTCTTTGAGAGTCAATGCGATTTTGTAATCACCCTAAGTGATTTCGACGGAACGAAATTGAATTTGAGTCGATAAATTGAAGCCGAGCTCTTAAAAAGTGTTGTATAGATAGCGATATAAAACTAGATGAGTTTCGGAATTAGGTTAAAAAATAATAATCCCACTCTTATTCGTTACCTACATCCCGAATTCCCTCTTTTCAGACATTCAATTCACTTCGAAACCACTTCGATCTCACCAATATCCTTTTCAGTTATCGAACGCAGTGGTGGCGACAATTCGACTATTCTTATACGAGTATACCAATTTAAAGATTTTTTTCTATCCTCAAAGAATCGAATCTATGGGAAAATAAGTTATGAAAAATTTACGAATGTTTTTAAGTTACTAGCAAATTTAAGTAGGTATAAGAAACAAGATCAATACTATTAGTCTACATTCAGGCCAAAAATGTTCGATATAGATAATTTTCCTGTTTCCGCCAAATTTGATTAATGATGATTTATACTTTTTGCGGCAGGGAGAGGTATCGAATAGATGGGAAAAATACTTGTCAGTTTTTAGCTCATGTTTGATGTTCCTGGAATACGTTAAAAATTATTGGTTGGTGCGGTTCAGTGACACATAGCAGCCCTAATACATACTAATGAACAACATGGTTATCTTTGCCTGGTATGTCAACGATATGAATTGACTTTTAGCATATTCCCTCGTAAGTATTTTCTGTTAATTCATCACGCGTTAATAATTTTCCACCATAAAGATATTGAGATCACGTCAGTTTTTCAGCGTAGAAATGTAAACATACATTTAAAAAATCATTTGGATATTACTGCAAAGAAGGGAATTTCTCATGTCGAAAATTATTTGCCAAAAAACTGGAAGGGAAAATTTGAAACTGATCGTTAATCAAACATCAAGAAAGTAAAATCTGATCCTTATGAAAAATAAGTCGTCCGTTTAATATCGAAGCTCAATTTCCATTTCTGTATTCATCTCATGCGGAATATTTAAAGACTAAAATTTTTTTCTCTTATATCTACTATAAAAGATGAAAAAAAGGAAGAATATTTCGATACACTCACATATTTATTAAAAGTTTTTAATTTATCGAACTCAAGCTTATCGACTCGAACTCTCCAACATCTCTTTGTCAATATTTTCAATAAGTTGCGTCTAAGCTATTTTGAAGGAACATAAATAATTCACGGTTTAATTTGGTGGAAAAAATTAAATAAGATTTTTCTCATTCAAATCAAATAGCATTCTTGCCGTTACCGTAAAAGCCTTCCTTTGAAATAGTGGCTTTTCGCGGCTATTACTCCTAATCTCTGATCATAAGCCGGATATAAACCAACGCAGTTTTTTGCGACATACGGCACTATAACGATTTAAAATCCCCAGAACAGCGCGACATGAATACAGATACTGAAAAAAAGGACAATTTACCGGTAATGGCATCGGCTAGGGCTCGTAAAACACGCATTTTTTATATTCCCATCCTCACCTTTTTTTCGTATTGATCAATAGAATTTTTTTATTTTATTACCCGCTAACGGCAAGCAGCGATTCCTTCCGCTTTACACGGGACTGTTTTCTATTAATTTCATCCGCCATTAGGTTCGATTTCGACGGGGATCATTCTACTTCGTTTGCTAATAAACTCTTGGCAGGCTAATAGAATTATCCGTCCAACCTCGACAAAAACTTTTTTAGCGTTCTTCCCGCCGAGACGCGGAGAAAGTAAATAATTCATTAGAGGATAATGGATAGACGTTGCTCGTAGTCCTGTCGGTCAGGATTACAGAGAGGACCGAAAGACAGGCGAGCCGACCAAGAGGAGGCCTATGCGAAGCAGTAAGGGCATTACATCGACGATCATGTCACTTCATCTCGCCCGAATTCCGTTCGGGGCGAATTAACCCTGTTAGAACTGATATTGACGAAGTTAATTGCATCATTTAACATGTTATTATCTATCTGTCTATTGTGTATAATTTGCGGCTCCGGGCTAGTAATTGAATAAATCATATTGT